GCCAAAATCCAGTTGCCATCAAGTCGATTCTAACTCATGGCCACCCCTTGTGTGTCAGAGTAGAATTGTGCTCCATAGGAGTTTCACTGACTGGTTTTTCAGAAGTACATCACCAGGCCTTTCTTCTGAGGTACATCTGAGTGGACTTGTACCTCCAAACTTTCATTAGTAGCTCAGGGAGGCAGGGCTTGATGGCGGCTAGGGTGGAGGTGCAGTGAATTCGCCGTCGGCAATAACACAGAATACCAGGCAAAGCAGATCCAGGACAGAGCTCCAAAACTCGGAACCACAGAGATAGGAACATTTTGAAGATTTGAAGGCTTATAGATTGTGGAACTTGAAACTGAAGTGAAAAATCGTGTACTTTTGAATCTGCTGGTCTGGGCTCAGAGGCCTGGAGCCGACATCTTGGGCGAGACCAAATGGCAAGACCAAGCAGGGGAGCAGAAACAACATGGAAAAACACCGCAGGAACCTTGGAGCAAAGGTGGACAATATACTTTGTCAGTTTTGCTTTGTTCTGATTTTCTTTTTTTTTTTTTTTTTTTATCTGGTCATTGGCATGCCCACTGCTTGCCCACCTCCATTCTGGTGACTGGATGGGGAGCCTGAGCGAGTGAACACCCCCCCACACTCATCACTGGTGGGTTTTTCTGCCACACATGCGCACAGATACTCGGCCAAGAACAGGCCCTGAACTTTTTTTTGTTTGTTTGTGTGTCTTTTGTTTTGTTTTTTAATAGGGGAAAGTACCAGACAGGGCTGTAGCGAGGGAAAGAGAGTTTAAAAACAAAACAGGCTGAAAAGTAAATTAAAGCCTGAGGTATAGCATAACAACCAACACTGGCATCTTGAAATCTCTCAGGGAGCTTTGAAAGCAAGAAGCTGAAGAGAGGACGTTAAAGTCATACTCATATTAGGCTACAGATTTGTTTTTTTCTTCTCTCCCTCCTCTCTCTTTTCTATGATTATAGACTGCAGTATTCAGTCTAGTTTTTGTTGTTGCTGTTTTTTGTTTGTTTTTTCTCTTGTTTTATTTTTCCCGCTGGTGCTGTTTTGCTGTTATATGCTCCCCTTTCTACCTTTGGAGGACACTTTGTCTCCATATATTACACAAGAAGAGTCAGCAACTGCTGCCATATAGCCAAGCTACAATCACACTCTATAAAACACCAAACCCCAGGCAATAACCAATACCAACTACCATATACAGGGAAACAGACAACACCTGTGAAAGTTACTCTGTGTTAAACAATAAGAAGAGTGAAAAGGGAAGCCCACATCCTGATCACATTTTCCTGGAAGCAGTCAGAAAGCATGAAAAATACCAAAACACATACTCTATTAAGGCCACAGATAAACACTAAACATGTCCAAGAAGCAAAAGCAGATGACCATATCAGCACAGGTCCAGAATCAAGATAAAATGTCTGAGACAAACAACCTAGAGGTAGACCTGGATTCCATTCTGGAAGGAAGGCAGGCCTTGGAAATGCCTGAGAAGGAATTCAGAAAAATTATTATAAAATGTTTCAAAACACTTTACAATGGAGTTGAGAAAAATAAGGAAGAAGTCAGGAAAGTGCTACAGGAACAATCAAATAAGATAGATACAGCATTTGAAACTATTCAAAACCTACAGAAAGAGGTCCAAATGATCAATAACAGAATATCAGAAATAGACAATACTCTGAAAGGCAAAGGAGTAGAATAGATGAGATGGAAGGCAGAACCAGTGAACTGGAAGACAAATCTCTCAGTACCACTAAGATAGAACAAACACAAAAAAAGGATTAAAATATCTGAAGAAGGTCTAAGATTCATGTTGGACAATATGAAGAGGAATAACTTAAGAATTATCAGCATTCCAGAACAAGAAGAATCACACAAGTCCACAGAGGAAATAGTTGAAGAACTGCTGGAAGAAAATTTCTCTAACATCCTGAAAAGTGAAAAGATAAACATTCAAGAAGCTCAACAAACCCCAGGAAGAATAGACCCCAAAAGAAAATCACCAAGACATATCATAATCAAGCTCTCCAAAATCAAAGATAAGGAGACACTTCTGAAAGCAGCCAGGGAAAACAGAAGTGTCACATACAAAGGTAAGCAAGTCAGATTAAGTTCAGATCTCTCAGCAGAAACCATGCAAGCAAGAAGGCAATGGGGAGACATATATATATAAAACCCTGAAAACAAAATTGCCAACCAAGGATCCTTTATCCAGCAAAGCTATCAATCAAATATGAAGGTGTAATCAAAACATTCCAGTATAAACAGAAGCTAAGGGTTCTTTGCCAAAGCCAACCCTGCACTACAAAACACCCTAGACGGAGTTCTGTGGACTGAGAACCAAAAAGAACAGACAACAGCCAGAGATTGACATACATGGCAGAACCTCCCAGAATTAAGTCAAAAGAAGAAAGAGTTGAGAACAGAACAAAACTATAAGAACAAACTCAGAGAATCTGGGAGGTCAACCTATGATCAAAAGAAGTACAATGTAAAAGAAGGTAAACACATAGGAACAGAGATCCAGATGGAATAGACTGCACTAAATGGAGAGAAAAGTTAATGGACTATAAGGCAACCTCAAAGAAAATTAACACTTCACAACATAACAAGAGAATGGAAATCCAAGGAGAACATGGAAATATTAAAACTATGAGGAAACTCACAAGAAAGAACACAAAAGCATGAACTCAACAAAGGAAGATACACAGAACAAAGAAAGCAGCAACACCACAAAAAAACAAACATAATGGCAGCAATTAATCATTAGCAACTCAACATGGTAACTGCTGCAGTAGCCCGGGACACCTTCCGAAAAGCTGTTGTTGCTGTTGCTGTTCAGTGCCGTTGAGTTGGTTCCAACGGATAACAACCGTATGTAGGTTTTCCAAGGAACAGCTGGTGGGTTTGAACTGCCAGCCTTCGCAGTCCAGTGTTGATGCTACAGTGACACACCAGGAGTCCTCTCCTAAAAGCAGGGGAGGCAATTAAAAGTTTAAGCAGGCCTTTTTCACCAGAGGGCTGTGGACTTTGTGTACCCAACCCATGGTTTTCTTGCCATCTGAGGCTGTAGCCCTGAAGCTGCTCAGACAGTTCCCTCCCCCTTTCTGTGAGTAGCACTTAGAACTCTCTCCCACAAGCAGACACCTCTGGAAGTTGATCTGCAGTTCACAGTTTCCAACTTTCTCCGTGGCTTTGCATACTTTAACACTAATGTGTGTACAACTTACTAATTAATGGAATCATTTGGATCTGAAAACATCTTGTTCTAATGGGAGGCTGCAAAGCACTCTCATTAATTCACAGGTAAAATTAATCCAGCTTTTTCTCTTCTTCTATTTTTTTTTTTCTCACCCTAGCTTACCGTAATAGTTGGGGAGGATTCTTCTTATTAGCCTTGTGCAAACCACTCCCCCAGTAGCACAGACCACCAGTAACTGCCTCAGGCTCTGGTGAGAGGGTGACCCAGCTTTTGTTTACCCAGCACAAGGGCTAAGGTAGTAAATACAAAGGGGAAACACACTAATACACACAGAGAAGTGGAAAGCTTGGTGTCTGGAAAGAGAGACTATTGGAGAGACAGTTGAGTCAGATAAAGGCACAAAACATGACCCACGTTGAGTGTGATGCCAAAATGGGTATTCTGTTGCATATGTGTCAAAGGTGGCCCACAGGATGGTTTTCAGCACAACCAATATAGATGAAAGGAAAGAGAACCTGCCCCTTCTCTCCTCGAGTGTGAAGACTTGGCACATGTACTATTGAGAGTTTACAAGTGACTTTCTTGGGGATAAGCAGTAATTTGGGGAGTGACAACCACCTCTGTACCATTTGAAAATCAAGATTTGCAACATCCCCTTTAAATAATTAGTGTACTATTTATGGTGTAGTTGGGTTTATAAGTAAGTGGATCCTTCACCCAGTTGGACACCAGTGCGAGTCCATAGACTTTTGATGGTGGTGGTTATGTGCTGTGGCATCTGTTCCGGCTCATAGCGACCCTGTACAGGGTTTCCAAGGCTGTAAATCTTTATGGGAGCAGAAAGCCTCATCTTTCTCCTGCAGAACAGCTAGTAGTTTTGAACTGCTGACCTTAAGGTTCACAGCCTGATTCATAACCACTATACTACCAGAGCTCCTTTGGGGTATATTAATAAGACCTGTGTGCTTCCTGAGGGGTTCTCATGGAAGGCAGTGATGTTCTCCAGAGTCAACCTCCGCAGCAGAGTGACCTGGTGAGAGATCTATAGGGGAGAGATTCGCACTCACAGGATCCAGAGAAGGTGCTTTAAGAGCCATTTCCTCAGTCCACTCATGGAGGTCTGGGTGGTAAGGGTCTCCTTCCGCATTGGAAGTCCTGCCTTCTTGGATGACTAACTATGAGGCTGATCGATATTTTAGGGCAGATGGGTGAGCCACAGAGCTCCAGGAATCCAACTATGAGGAAAAGCTTGAGAGATAAGCAAGCCGTTGCATGGCTGTCGCTGGTCCAGATGCATTCTCGCTGTACTGAGAGGCTACCCTAGCAGTAAAGGATGCTGTGTTGTCTCTAAGATGGGCTATTAGAAAATTAGAGTGTTCTGGGTAAAAATAACTTGTTCTTTCCCTTGGAAGCACATCATCTGCTAGTCTTTTTATTTGGATGTGCCTCCAAGAAAGATCTGGTATCAGGCCAACCTAGATGTAGAGCCCTATTCTGTCACTCACTGGATTGCATGAGTACGACAAGCCTCAGTGTCCCCATCTGAAAAGTCAGGCATGCGTTACCTCACTTGTAGAGTTGTTGAGAAAACTACATGAGATTGTGGAAGTAGTTTCCTAAATAGCACTGGTTCATTAGGAGAGAAATGCCCATCAATTCCATTTTTAGGTGTTTTTCTCCACGCTCCTTCTACAAATCAATATACTTAACAAGCAATGCTGGCTCATTAAGCACCTCCCTGAATGCCATCACTGTTGTTACCACTGTGTCTCTTTTCTCAACACAGGTCTCCAGGTGGTTTTGAATTCCATTATCAAGGCCATGGTCCCCCTGCTGCATATTGCTCTGCTAGTGCTGTTTGTCATCATCATCTACGCCATCATCGGCCTGGAACTCTTCATGGGGAAGATGCATAAGACGTGCTACAACCAGGAGGGCATAGCAGGTAAGGCGAGGGTTCTGGGGCACACACTCACCAGGAAGTTAATCTCCTCACAGCGGCTTGTCTTGTGGCTGGGCGGTCAGTGGTGCCAGCAAAGTCCCCTTCAGCCACACATCCATGTTTCCAGCACCTGTGGCTAAGTGAGAAGCGGAGACTGATATTCTTATTTTTTTTCTCCTCTCTAATTTTTTTTCCACTAAAATGATCTCTATTGAAACAACAAAAGACAGACTTTGTCCAGCATTACTAAAAACTGCTTAAAAGAGCTGTGCAATTTGAATATCATTTAAAGAAGTAAGCATCTGTCTTTTGTCAATCTGTCACTTTTCAAGCCAAGCCTGAATATTTTAACTGAAGAATCAGAACGAAACTGGCACCTGTACGTAGATATCTCTGCTACGTTGGGACTGCTGGTTTGCCATGAAAAGTTCTTGCAGGCCTTACCCTCAACCATATTAGAGGTCCCTGCCCCAGGTCTCCTCCGCTCTTTCCCTTTGTTCCTGGAGACGCTCTGAAGGAATTAGCCTGTTGTAACAAAGGAAGGACTTCTATTGTACAGGCATGTGGTTCAGCGGATCCTTAGCCAGAGACAGAGCCCCATTTATAGGAAGGACCCTTGTTTATATAGTGTTTGGGTCTTTGAGGGGTTACAAAAGTGAGCAAAGGGAGGTGTGTGAGGCTCGCATTTGGTACTTCATGGGGGGGGGGGGGAGGGAGCAGCAAGCAAGCATGTAGGGAGTTTACAGAAGCAGAAGCAAGTAAGTTTTAATTGGGGGCTTTGTTATCTTCTTGGAGATGAGTCTGTACCAGGAGAAGTTTAGCTGTGATAATCTTGTGGGGCCTGAGGTGGTCTGTGGCTTAGTTCCTGGAATGTGGACCCAGTCCTTGAAATGAGATATGTACTCTGGGAGGAAGGGTGGGTGCTCAGTACCTGTTTCCACTGGTCTGCCTGCCTTAACTTTAGAGACTGAGGAGTCAGTGATAGCTCAATAGTAGAATCCTCACCTTCCATGCAGAAAACCCAGGTTTGATTCCCAGCCAGTGCACCTAATGTGCAACCAGTGTCCATCTGCCAGTGGAGGCTTGGGTGTTGCTACGATGCTGATTAGGTTTCATCAGAGTTCTCAGACGAAGACTAGGAAGAAAGGCCTGGAGATCTACTTCCAAAAGTCACCCAGTGAAAACCTATGGATCATGCCATCCTTTCTGCAGCCGATCATGGGCATGGTGCAGGATCAGGTAGCCCTCATTCCATTGTTCATGGGATCACCAGGCATCAGCAGCAGCTAACAACATCAATAGGCAGAAACCCTGGGGGTTGGAAGGGGCAGCATGGAATCATGTCTTTGCCAGGAGTGCAATGTCTTTTCCTCAAGGAGATTAACCTCTACCGCAGGACTGCTCAGTCCTTTCCTTTTTGAAACTTCTCTCTCCATGTTCTTTCCATAAATCAATAGGCTTAATAAGCAATGCTGGCTCATTAAGCACCTCCCTGAGATGCACTTGAGTTTTGGCTTGTAGGATATGCTACAAACTGCTGTCTTAAGTTGCTAAACTCTCAGCTTGACCTTTAAAAAAGAACATTTAAACAGAAATTGACAAGCCATTTAAACAGCCATAAAGTAGTTTAACAAGAAGAACTTGTTGAAAAAATAGCCCCCAAAGGGGTTAACAGCGTCAAATTTATGTGATTTATTTTTCTCAAATAGCATTTGAGTTTTTGGTCTCTTGATGGAGAGGGGAAGTGTTTGTCAGGGGCATTGAAAGGTACCTCATTTCTCTCCATCTATGGAGGCACAGTGGCTCCATACCATTAGCTCTGGACTGTGAACCACAAGAGCAGCGGTTCAAGCCCGCCATTCTCTGTCCGGGAAAAGACGAGGCTTTCTGCTCCCACAAAGATTTATAGCCTTGGCAACCCTATACGAGGTTGCTATGAGTCAGAACTGACTCCAGGGTACCTTTCAACACTGCTCAGTCTCATTCAGCCCAGGTATTAAATTTCATTTGACTCCTCTTGCTTTAGAGTGTTAGTTAAGACAGCATCTATGCAACAAGGAGTGAAACAGATTATTCATATTCAGAATCCCGAAGAGATTACCTGGTCTATGTGATCTTTTGGACTGTATCAGCTGGCTGGGTACTTAAATATTTCT